CGAACCAGCTGCCTCCTCGCGCCGCCAGCTTGCTGACCGCAGGAAGGGTGGGCGAGCGCTTCAGCCGCGCAAATGAAACATCAAGGACCTGAAGATGATCAGAAACCGGTTCTCGTCCATCAATGAAGTAGAGCTGTTTCTTCCCTTTTCTTTGTCCCCAGAGAGCATTATTTTTCCTTTGACGCTGGCTAGGAGGACTAAAAGATGAAGGAAGAGTATCTGGATTGGAAGGAGGACCAGCACAAACAAGTAATTTGAGTAAAACGCTACCTGTCAGCAGACGCCGACCTGCCGCGGGTGCAGGGCGGGGGCGACAGCGAGGGGGAAGCACGAGGCAAAGCTCCACACAACTTGGGGAAGACAAAAAACGGTATTTTCACACCGTAGACTCGAATTCTAAATTACGTGAGAGGTTAGGTGGGTCTCGAACTGAGACCTAATTAAACAAGATGTAAACCAAGAAACTTTGCTTTCTTCAGAAACCTCTGAAAACGGGAAGACAGCAGTAAACAAGATTACTCAGAAGTTTGGTTTTCTCGGCTTTTTGTGCAGCAGATTTCCCTTCTCACATTAACTGCCTGCTATTCACTGATTTCTTAAAAAAAAAGTCCGAAGCCCAATAATTAAATATGATTGACAACGGGCTTCATAGGACTTGCTGCTTCAGTGAGGATGTTCACCTTGCCATACCGACTGCGACCACCACCGGCAGAGCCCTGCTCGCTGGTAGCGTGGCTGGAGAGCACAGGAACCGGGCAACGGAGCAGATGGGAACAGAAGCACCACGCTACAACGTCCAAAATACACCAGAGCGATGTTTTCCAATGGGAACAGCTTTCTTGTTGTGGTTTAAATGATTCTTATCCTTCTAATTCAGCTTCTTCTTTGAAAGCCCTTCCACAGCTTCTAAGCCCACCCGTGCAGTACCCTGAGCAAACACTGAACTAGCTGGAGCCTTAATATTCCACTGCCAGCCTTCAGAGCCAACCTTTCCCCTAAATTACCCCTTTATTTTTCATTAAAAAAAGACTCTGAGTGTTGCTGCAAACAGGTCTATGTTTCAACTTGCTTGGTACCCAGCCCAATGGAAATCCTGCCCCAAGACCCCTGGTTATTAACTGATATCTTAAAATAGCATTATTATAAATATTCCCAAATATTTCTGTGTTTACTTATTATCATCGTATTTTCAAAGTACCTAACAACTGCAGCAGTGTTTTCTCAGCCCTAATGCACTTAACACAACAGCCATTTGCATCTTCAGTAGAGCGGGTCCCCCTCTGTAGCCTACAGCGAGGAGGACTCGTTTTTTATTTATCCCATTTTAATTTCTTTTGAGCATGAGAGAATAGGAAAACAGAAGATAATTTCAAGTACGTTGGCACTATCTGCAAAGAATTCTATAACAGCACAAAAATGAACTTTTTTTTCTTTTTATATTTTGAACAGTAATATAAAAAATATAACGGTTCAAAATTCAGGTAAGATCTGTGTCAACAACTACAATTCTTTTACTGGACATATTTTACTGAGCATTGAACTCTTGTTTATGTAGGCACAGATTTAAGAATAACACCACAAAATCAAAAGGATAAAGTGCAGACCTGTACTGAGAAGCAGGCCTGGTAAGTCAGTCTACTCCTACAACTCGGCAGAGAAAAGAAAGGAAAGGGGAAAAAAACTGCCTTTATAAGAGAAGAAGTATATTATAAATTACGTCCTGCGGTAACAGACCTATACAACCTTTCCTGCAAGGTCCAGAGCACTGGAAAACCCAGGTCCCCCGTGTACAAGCACACCGTGTTTGTCGCAGGAAATATTTTCAGTTAGACTTTGGCTTACACAAGTGGTTTATTTATAAGAAAACTTAACAAAGGTGTACTGATTAAAACAGTTCTCTTAACATCATTTCTTTATATATTTCAGAATTATATTTCAGAATAAAAAATTATGCACTTAAAAACAGGTAACAGCCTCCCCCCAGCACAGTAAGTTTCAGCAAACAGGGACCACGAAAGAGCGAAAGGGGGACGCCGGGGTGAGTCATGACTTTAAGCGATGGTCTTTGCCA